TGACTGTTTTTGAAAAGTTTTTACTGTAACAAAACTCGAATTCTAAACTCGAATCGGTAAAATAAACAGGGCCTTAATTTTGGTTGTTGAATCAGAATATTTAAAATTTTTTTTTTTTTGAATTGTTAGTGTTATGCTTGCTTCTTGTAAGAACAATAATATGTCTACTAGCCAAGCCACATGATCATGACCATAAGTTGTTGATCAAACCATGAGGCCACACCTTATAATGTTGAGATTATACAAGAATTTAGTACAATGAAGCCATATTATTAATGTGCGGCCCTTTTTTTTTTTTTTTTTTTTTTTGGGAGAAAGAGGGAAATAGGCCAAGACTTAAAATGAATTAAAATTAATAGGCCAATAGTTTACATAAGTTAATAAATAGGCCAAATTACTGTTTTCGTCCATAATTTGTCTGGTTATGAATCATAACTTGACAAGTTATGGCCTATTAATTTCTATAATTAAAAGTTGGCCTATATACTTCCTTAAGCTTTTTATATTTGCCTATTTTCTACTATTTCTGTTTTTTTTTTTATAGAAAAGAATAAGGTTTGTTACGGTTTTGGACAGGTGTATTATTTATGTCAATCTAAATAATTGGGTGCCAACATTACTTTTTCTTTTTCTCTTTCTCTTTTTTAATTGAATGATAATAGTTTATTTTTTAATATGGTGGCATAAGCAATACTTTTTAATTATCTTCGGTGGTATTTAATGTTTTCCCCGTTTTTTCTAGCCTTTTATCAAATTTATCTCCTTTCTAGAGTACTTCAAATGCCCTACCCTTTAGGTGGTAATCTAGTGGGTACTCATGTGTAACCGGACCCATTTAAGGCCCAATTCACTCCTAACTTCTCCTAAGCCTTTGGACTCTTATTCTGACATCAAAATAAGTTTACAATTTGGTAATAACTCTAAAAATACAGATCCAAAGTCATAGAATGATTTTACCCTCTTACTTTATTCCAAATGGCTATTTTACCCCTCTATTATTCCTACTTTTCCTTCTAGGATTTCTTTCATAACATGAAGACTTTTCACCACGCCTAACTTTTTCATGCAGACTCTAGGATGTTCTCAAACCCACACAAAATTACCATCCATCATTTTATTTTTCTTAGGTTTAATATTTCCTTGTTTTCTCATCGGTAGAACCTTGAAACTCAAAACCAGTGTTCCGAATTCATGCCAAGTCAAAATAGTCTAAAATTTTGATATTAGACTCTTAACATAACATATTATTCCCAATTCTGGAGAAGTCAATTTCACTCGCATAAAGTTTGGTGTTTTAGTCTTGGGTTGCACTGTGAAAACACTTATTTGAGACATTGATTTAAAAATCTATAAATAATTGTACAAAAATCATTTTCAATCCCTGATGGCTTGTTGAAAGGCTTAAAAAGTCTAGTTTCTACTCCTAAGTTCCAACAGCCGGGTTCTAAGTAAAGCTTAAACAATTACATATGTAGTTCATGCTGGTAAGTGAAAATTGCTTATTGCACATGGGAAATGGTTGAAACAAAAGTGATAACAGTGAAAATTCGTCAACAGAATAATAACAAATTTCCAAACAGTTTTTGCGAATTAAATGATCTAAAACATAATTAAAAGCGGAATTTTAATAAGAACACACAGAATTTACAGTGATTCACCATCAATTCGAGAGCTACATCCACTGTAGGGAGGAGAGAAATTTCACTATCTTTAAAGGAATTACACGCACTAATGCTTAGAGTGAGATTTTGAGATTTTTTGACTTATAATCCCTTATCTATACCCTAGGTCACCGCCCCTCCTTGTTTCCCTATTTAAATTTGGGGATATTTTTCTTATCTTTTGGGATAGTTTTCCAAAAGATAGAGATCACAATCAATCAGAACGGTTTCTTTATTTAAATTTCATATTTCTAGATTACAAATATTAAATCTTGGAATGAATCCTCCATATCTTTATCATTGCATAGCTTCGACTCTCTAAACTCTTCCTTTAACCTCTTCATTATCACCCGTGAGTGTCGTCGACCTCCTGTCCCCTCTCAAAACAGTCGACCTCTTATTCTTATCAAATGCTTCCTTGTAACGGTCGACTTCCAAGAAGGCCATATGCTAACGTGGCTCTTTGGTCTAATTTAAGTTTTATCAGAATTATAGGTACCGGTTTGAGTCTCTTTACCAAGTTTCATTGTTAAATTGATTTAGCAAATATGTAAGAAACTTAAAATAGTAAAAAAAAAAAAAAAAAAAGGGAAGTTGATATTGCGGTTCGGTAACCACCTACATCCGCAAGGCAAAGCCCACACGATGAACAATCCACTAAAAACTCAAGATTACTAGTCAATTAGACTTAGACTACCCAAGACTCTATCTCATGAAAAGACGCCTATGAACTGTAACTTCATAACGGACTTGCCTAGGGAGCATGACTCATCTTCAAAACTGCATGGTGAAATCCCTTTGTCTGGCATATCGCTCCCTCCCAAAAGCTTCAACTTCTTCTCCTGAAGAATGATAAAAGGTTGAACTCATTTCAACACTGCAAACGTCTTCTCCCGAAGACAACTACTTCTTCTTCCGAAGAATGATAATTTGTTGAAATTCCTTTGACAAAGGTTTTCTCCCTGAAAAAAAAAAAAAAAAGCCCTCTCTCGAAGTGATAAGAAAATTACAAGCCCTCACAAAAGCTTTCACAATGTAACACTGAGGCTTTAAGGGCCTACTGGGACTCTCGTGAGACTTTTATTAAATAGTTAAATTAAATAACTATCAAATTCTTCAAAGTAATCTGCTATAAAAAGTCTGTTGTAGATTTTGTTGCAACATACTGATCTGAAGGTTAACATTCCCGATTCTTGAAATCTTCTCCTGTAAAAATACATGAACCTGGACGTGTTTTTCTGAAATATTGGTGATTCATCCAGCCCAGCACATTCTCATCCATAAATCAACTATCCCATCCATTTTTAATTTACCAAGAAGGACCAAAAGTTGTCATTAGCCAAATCAATCTTAATTGATTGTCTCGAAACAATTTCTGTAAAACAAAGATTCTCCATAAATAAATCCTTGCTGCAAATCACAATCTTCTCAAACAAAATTAAGGATGCAAATCAATCCCAAAATAATGCCAAGATCCAATTCAAGCAAAAGGCAACTTTGAAAAATAGGAAACCAAAAAAAGGGCAATTGACTTTCCTAAGAACAGATATTCACAAACTACCAACCTTTCAAAAAGATATTTTCTGTTGTCAGTCAACTTTTAATCAGATCATCATCAAATCATGTCTAAAATAATGCGAACACAAGAATTAATCAAATCTGAAAATGACAATCAAAACTGAAATCCCAACGACATTGTTCAGACGTTGAAAAGGACAGCATTAAGAATATGTTCGTCAAAGAAATGTATTGGCTAACAAAGAAATCAAGAACCTCGTGATAACGACATATATCACAAGTTGTAATTTAATAAAGACACCAATTATTTTGGGAAGCGTGCGCTTTCTAGAAAGAAAGTAAAGAATTATTGAAGCATTCATTTATTCCAGATCAATATTAAAACAAAAATTAAAACCGACAAAGATTACTTCATCAACTGAGCATCGTACTATCTTTTTTGCAGGAAAAGGTACAACCAAAATTGATAAAATCTCGTCATCCAATTGAACTAAATTTCACTTTTTTTTTGTTTTTATATATCTGAGTGTGATGATCAATCACTCTCATAGAAGATGAAGCTCATCTTGGTCTGTACGTCGTCAATTATTTGGGTGGATTCTAGCTACGCCAAAATAAAAAATAAAAAAAAATAAAACCTTAAGCTAGATGATAGTCTTTGGTATAACTGACAAATTTTTATTAGATTCGACCATATTTGTCTACTATTAGCTTGTCATCTAACATAACACGAAAGAAGATATAACAAGGACACTTTTGATAGTACCACTGAAAAAGACGTTTAGTTCATGAATTAGAATTATGTGATTAAAATTATTTTTAATTTATGTGTATTTTTTGTGAGAAAAAATACTGTAGCGAATTACAAATTATGATTCAAATCAGAGAACGAATTCCCCAACTAAACAACCTCTAAATATTTTTTAACTAGAAGTTTTTTAACTAATTTTTTTTAATATATATTTATATCTTGTTTGATTGCATTGTGAAAAGAGACGTCCAATAGATACAATACCTAGAAATGTTCCTACCCTGAAAATCCCTATTTAATTTTGGTTGTTTCATCATGATATAAGGACGTTGCATTCTCTAATACAATGCTATTATGATGTTAATTGGCATATAACATATATATTTGGTACTACATTTAACACTAAATATAATATATATCATATTTTTGAGAGTTGATTACTTTATTTTATTTTATATTTTAATTATTTTCAAAATTAAAAATTTATCTTCCAAGTATACCCTTCACTATTCATACCAATTAGCATTGCTCAACCCACACAGTACAAAATTGTATTCACAACAAAATATATATATAGCCTATATATGAGCTCGTTCAATTCGTTAATTCGACTTGAGATGTGATATTATGTGAGAACTTTTTACTGTAACAAAAAAGTTAAATGTGACTGTTTTTGTGAACTTTTTACTGTAACAAAACTCAAATTCTAAACTCGAATCAACAAAAAAAAGGAAACTATATATATATATATATATATATATGTTGCTGTTCTTTTTGTTTGTAGACCCATATTTGACCTTTCATGCTTCATAAAAGTGGCTTTTCTTGCTTTTGATATTTTCTACATCTTGTAGGACCCAGCACCATAGCCTTTTTAGACAAAAAGAATTCATTGCCTTTTCAACCTTAACGATGCATATTCATTAAAGAATTCTGTCGCTCTCAACAGCTAACTCTCCCACTTGTCCGACTATAAGTATCCAAATATTCTTTGCAAAATTCACCAAATCCAAATCTTTAACTTATCAAACACACAGAAACCTTCACTCGATCAAGTCGTACTACTAAACATGGTTTTCACAAAGTCTCTCACTCAGACAGACGTAGAGAGCAAACTGATGGTTCCGAACGAATTCTTCAGGGAGTTTCCTCCGTCGCAGAATGGCGGCGCAGTGGATCTCCTCGTCCGAAACCAGAACGGCCTCATGTGGACGTTTCGCATGTCGAGTATCCGAGCAGGATCGAACCGATCCAAGCTCGTCGTTTCGGCGGGTTGGCTGTCGTTTGTTCGCGACAGGAAACTCCAGAGCGGTGATTGTCTCTCCATTTATAAGGAGGGAAGTGGCGAGAGAACGTACAGAATCGAAGTCAAGAGAAGAGAAAGAGGCAAGGGCTCCGATGGTGAGTGGACTCGCCTTGTGTGAAATTAATTATTAACATGTTTTTACTACTACTTAACCCAAAAGTTTTGAATGTCCTAGGGTAATTATATTAATTAGGAAGAGAAAAAAAGAAGAAGGGAAGAGTCTTTTGTACGATCGGGAGTTTTTTTATCCTATATTTGATATAATTCCTCGTGAACTTCTCTACATCGTGCTTGTGTATTACTTGTTGTGTGGGAAAATGTGAAAGACATGTAAAAGAACGATAATATGACACGTAGCCTTAACTACTCCCCGTAAAGCAACAACCCTTGACGTCTGAGGCTCCCTCCCATTCCGTTATGAAGAGCCTAAGTGAAAAGTCCAAGTTAGGGCGTCGATTCCTTCTAGCGTCGACAGATCGTACCGTCGACCTTAGGACATAGAAATCCCTCGACTGTGGAACCAACAGCTAAGAAGGACAGTTGGGTTAAGCAACACTAGCGACGAGGGGAATGCTCTTTGGAGAAAAATCTGACGTGGCAAATTGCGTACAAAAGTGGGGGATGACTGCAAGGCATGCATTTATTGCAAACTCTTAAACCGCCCCACAGGGGACAGAAAAGGGTTACAGGAAGGCACAGAGCCGTAATAGAAGACTAATTGGCTGAGTGAACAGTACTCCAAGTAATTAGTGGGCTATGTCTGGGCCTGAAAAGGGAGAGCACTTGAGTGCTTCTGCCTACGAAGGAAATCAACCCAGCGAAGGAAGCCCCCAATATAAAAAGGGCAAGACCCCATACAGGAAAGGGGTTGAGATCCGAGAGAAAAAAGAATGAGAAATAGCAATTGATGTAAATTGTAATCCCCTCAAAAGAAATATACAACCGCAGTGGATGTAGCTCTGATTTTATAGAGTGAATCACTATAAAATCTCTTATGTTCCTTATTTGTGCACACTTTTTATTAACGTACAATACACCCCTCCAACAAATTCTTACACATATTCAACACTAAGGCCGGTAATCCAGCGGAAAACCCAGAGGTAACCCGGCCTGTTTTTGTTGACGAGAATTCGCCGTCAACAATTGACGACTCCACTGGGGACCGAAAGCGTTTGACCCCCAACAACATAGTTAGTAAGCACGCCTCCAAGGAAGAGAATTGAGGCCATCAACCGAGGTAGCCAGACGGACGAAACCGCCACCCATCCAGGAAATAACGGGATGGAAGAAGATCCACGCCCGGTCAGAAACGAAGTCCCACTCCCAGACGTGCCACGGCCGGATCCTGGGCAGATGCAGGCCCAACTAACCACTCTAACCGAGCTGGTACGTGGGCTAATGACCGTGGTTGAGCGCTTAGTTGGAAGGAACTCTATGCCGCCGTTAGAAGACGCCCCGAGGCCGCTGGGACCTGCCATGGCAGGAAATCCAATGGTGGGCTGGGTGGACTCGCCTTGTGTGAAATTAATTATTAACTTGTTTTTTCTATTACTTAACCCAACATTTTTGAATGTCCTAGGGTAATTAATTATATTAATTAGGAAGAAAAAAAAAAGAAGGGAAGAGTCTTTTGTACGATCGGGAGTTTTTTTATCCTATATTTGATATAATTCCTCGTGAACTTCTCTACATCGTGATTGTGTATTACTATATAATGCGAAGTATCATACTTTTTAGACGCTTGAAGAATATTAAAACTTATTCTTTATTTCGTTGGAAGTCGTATAGTACTAATGTTAGTTTCATAGAGCTCTGGAGTCTAGAATATATTCATTGATGCCATCATGTTACGGAGCTTTCTACTATAGGAAATTAAAGAATAAAATAAGCTTTAGCTCCTCATCGTTTAAAGATAAAAAGATACACTCACTTGTAGAAATATGAGATTTCATGACTGTCAATAACCGTCGTTAGAAGATTAGACAACGGTTACGAGAATCGTCATCTAATCGAGAATCATTTTGCTGTACGATTTAACGACAGTTTTTATCTATCATTAAATAAGACATTAAATGACGGTTTATAAATAAATCCGTCGTCTAAGATATTTCTAAAATGTCAAATTTAGCGGTTAAAAACCACATTAAACGTCAGTTTCTCTAGAAACCATCGTTAAAAAGAAACATATAACGATTGTTTTAGTTAATTACCTAAAGTGTATGTTAATTATCCAAACGAGGTCTTATGTTTTGTGTGGATTAGTGGCTGGCGCGTAGCTCACTATCCTCAAGTTGAAGGTTTAACCCTCACGCACAAAACTTGTGTCGTTTTTTTTTTGTTTCCTTTTTTATTAAGTGTAAATGGTGGTTTTGGCAGTTCAATTAACTAACTATTGAAATCAATTTGACTTTTTCAGTTTTGATCGGATTTTATAGGTTTTTTTGTTTTTTTGTTTTTTACGGCCAATTTTATCATCAGAGTTGATCGGTTTTAGTTTATTTGTTTATTTGTTTATTTGTTTTTTTTTTTTTTTTTCCGGAAGTGCCCTAGTTATGAGACGATTTATATTTTCATGTCCTTTTAATTATTTGGTCTTTTGACATTGACCACAAAAGCCACTTTTCTGTTTTTCATGTCGTTTTTGTGTCTAATGTTCTCGTGTCGTGGTTTTGATTTTTGCCGTCTCTATCATTGTTCTTGTCGTCTCACATTGAAGATAAATGAACGATTCGTCGTTTTCCGTTTTAGACTTCTTGTTGGGCCTATCGGGCCCAGCCAGCCCTCGGTCGGAAAGGCCCAAAACAACCAAAGAAAGTCTGTGGAAGCAACAAAACCAGTAGTAGGAAAACATTCCCATTCCCATTCCCAAATCAACACGACTCTGATAGAGGATCGAAAATCATTATTGAAGGTGAACAGCCAGAATTACCGGAAACTCAATAATTATATGAGGGATGCTATACCATGGTCCCATTATCTTATCCTTAGGACGCTTTGCCTTCTTTTCTTGGCTTGATAGTTCTAATCACGGGGTAATAATTCTCTTATCTCCTCAAAAGAATCTTTCATTCAAGGTATTAATAATAAAGTTATTCACAACCGGCATAAAGACTGAAAGTTCATATTGATCACGAAAGCATAGAGATTAGGGTAATCAATTAGTTATTGTTTGATATGCTACCCCCAAGCTCAGAGTTTGGGAGTTGAGTTCCTTTGGTAGGAGAGCTTTGGGATCAGTGGCTGAGAGATGAGAATAAGTGCCACGGCTCCAGTTAATAATAGACTCAGGAGGTGTGGGCTATCGAACAGATTGGACCAAGATTCGACACTCGCCCGGCCTGCACTATGCCTCAAACTCTCCTGGCCCAAGGCTTGCCTACGGTCCAATTGAAGCGGAGTCAATAACATCAGTCCTTCAACTAGCGCGAGTGACTAGCCAATCCAACTAGGATCAAAAGGAAAGGCTACTCTACTAAGTTGCTTGGGCCTGGTCACCTTTCGAAGCTTTTTCCCAGTCAAGCTAGTTAGAAGAGTTCTTTGCCTGTGGAAGTGTTCGTATCCCCATCCCCATTGTAGCCAGGGACAAGGGCTCGTATTCACTCAAGTCGATTTAGTAGCAGGAGCGGCTGTAGCTTTACCAGTTGTACCTATTCCAATTGGTTAGCTGAAGCAACTGCTGGGGGTACCTATCCAACAGTCTCTGCCGCTGGTGGAACTGGATATCGATCCAGGTTCGGACGTGAGCGAAGGGAAGCCTTTGCCTCTATCCCTACTTCTTGGTCTCGATCTCGAACTCAAGCCTGAATCTTTGCTTCCTTCTACTACCAGCGGGCTAGCCTTAGTTATGATTTGTATATCGATCCCTTGGTTGGAGGACGGATCTCGCTACATACTAGAAGGATGTTTATCGCCGCATTGGAACTACCTACCATGAACCTTCTACCCCGAAATCCCACCCCTTAGAGTCCATAGGAGGTTGCGGGATGGGAAAGCCCCCTCCCCCCAAGCCGCTCCCGAAGACCTATTTGACCCTTCAACTGTCCAAGCTTTCAGTCTGTATATCAGGCCCATATAGTATGTCTGTGTAACTGTTCTGTCTGGTCAGTCTGCATTCCAGTCTAGTCAGTTTGCTTTTCAGCACTTCCGTTTCTAGTCAGTTTGCCTTCTTCCCTTCCGTTCTAGTCTTCCAGTTGACTATGTATGCTTTATCGACTTTGGCTTTTTTTCTCTCCTTAGAAACTACCACAGGAAGACAGGGAAGCCTCGGTGTGCCATCAAAATGGATTTCATTTTTAGAAAGCCTAGGACTCAGTGCATTTTGTTCTTTAGGATTAAACTTCCTTCAGGCTGGGTCAGCTTGAGGAAAGGATTTTTATCCTCGAGCCGACTCTCGTCTTGCGAGGTTCAAAATCTATAGTAAAAGGAAAAGATTTTTCTTATTTAGGTTGTGACTGGACACCACATCGGTGAGGACTGCGCTATGCCACCTGTCCTTACCTTGCTCTTGAGTTGAGCTGCAAGCTTAGAACTAGTAGAAAGTTTCAAAAAAGAACCTAGAATCTTAGAATACGATTAGAAGTTGTTTGAACTCCTAGACCGGAGAATAGCTTTCTTGTTCTTCAACCTACGGAAAAAAGCCGATAGTAGTACAGTAAGTGACGTCTTCCTCTTTAGCGCCACGCATAATTGGCTCGCGGAAATGCAGAAGGAAGAAAACCCGAACGAAAGAAAGCTGACCATGAGTTCCAATCCACTTTAGTATCTTCATCTTTATGCCACATCGCAGCCTACGCTTGAAAGCGGGAATTAGCCCAAGTGAAAGGGGCCCGCCTCCCTTTCCCCTCTCCCGCGGCCGAAAGCCTTCTCCTTGCTTCTCGACCACGGCCTCCCCCTTACCTTACGCCTTACGACGATGGAATTTCCGGGTTAACACTTTCTTTACAGTATAAAATGACGAAATATTATTTTCAACCTTGGATCGGTATATACCTCAGTATAGTCCCCTATAGGTGCCTGGGACACCCACGATCAAGAGCATCTCATCGATACTCAGGACGTGTGGGGGGGAGTTACCCCCATCCAAACCGGTAGGTTTTACCCTAACCGGATGGTGCCTTT